TACACAAAGGACTGTACAATAATCATTTTCTGCTTTATAAGAACTGCATTGCCTCAGCCAAATCCACAAACTACTCTGGTTTAATCTTCTCTAGTGAATGTAACCCTAAGTCTCTCTTTTCTCTGTTTAATAATATTACTAGGCCTCCAGACTTTTTTCCCTCCCATATGTATTCGACTGATTTTTGTAATTCCCTCATGTCTTTTTTTACATCGAAAATTTCTGATATCCACCAGCAACTTAATTCTAATGGAGCAGACTCCCTGCTCCCTTCTCAGTTTCCCTCTCAGTGATTTACAAGCTTCTCTCTCCCTTCCATAAATGACATATCTGGAATTATTCAAAAATCTAAATCGTCCACCTGTCCGCTCGACCCTCTACCCACTGCTCTAGCCCCCTAACCCTCCCTGGCCCCCTCATTACCACCGTTATCCACTCTTCCCTTAACACTGGAATTGTCCCTCCATCACTCAAAACTACTTCCGTTACTCCAATTCTTAAAAAACCAGGTGCAGATCCCAATAACTTCGACAACCTTCATCCTATATCAAACCTCCCTTTTATTTAAAAAGTTCTTGAGAAAGTTGTTGCCTCCCAGCTTCACTCACACCTCAGTAACCATAACCTCTATGAACAATTCCAGTCTGGTTTTTGCCCCCTCCATAGTACAGAAACAGCATTACTAAAAGTCACCAATGACCTCCTAATGGCGGCTGATTCTGGCCTTCTCACCATTCTCATCCTCCTGGATCTGAGCGCAGCCTTTGACACTATTTCTCACAACACTCTTCTGAATAGATTATCATCCATTGGCATCAGTCATACTCCCCTTGCTTGGTTCACCTCATATCTCTCTGGTCGCACTCAGTTTATCCAACTCAAATCTCACTCCTCACGTTTATTCCCCGTTTCAGCTGGTGTTCCCCAGGGTTCAGTATTGGGGCCTCTTTTGTTCATTGTTTACATGCTACCACTCGGCCACATATTTAGGACATTTTATATAAATTTTCACTGTTACGCTGATCACACCCAACTCTATATCTCCTCTAAACCTACCTGCTCCTTTCCACGGTCTTCCCTCTCAGACTGTCTAATGGAGATTAAATCATGGTTCTCCTCTAACTTTCTCAAACTCAATAGCAATAAAACTGAAGTTCTACTCGTTGGTACAACTTCCACTCTAACTAAATCCCATAGTTTCTCCATCAATATTGATAATTCCGCTATACACCCCTCCACCCAGGTTACGAATCTGGGCGTCATCCTAGATAGTACTCTTTCATTTCAGTCACACATTAATCACATCACCCGGTCCGCATACTTCCATCTGCGCAACATAAATCGACTCTCGTCCCTTTCTCACTCCCCATGCTGCTGCCATCCTTGTTCATAGCCTCGTCACTTCTAGGATTGATTATTGTAACTCTCTTCTCTTTGGTCTCTCTAATAATTCCCTCCGTAGACTCCAACTCCTTCAGAACGCTGCAGCTCGGGTAGTAACTCGTACCCCCTCCAGGGAACATATCACCCCAGTCCTTCAACAGCTTCACTGGTTGCCCATAGAAACTAGAATAGTATTCAAAATTCTAGTTCTCACTTTCAAATGCATTTGCAAGCTCGCCCCTCCCTATCTGTTTGGCCTGCTTCACATTGCCACTCCGTCCCGATCTCTCAGATCTTCATCTGCCACCCATTTTATTGTTCCCTCTGCCCGCCTCATCACCACGGGACACAGAGCTTTTAGTCGCTCTGCTCCCTGACTTTGGAACTCATTTCCGCCGGATATCAGAAATATCTTCACTTGTTTAAGTCAAAACTCAAAACCCATCTGTTTAAGTTAAGGCTTACTCGCTATAGACCTATTGTTGTCTGATTATGTAAGTAACTCTTTTTAATTATTTGTTTTTAGTGTTTGTCTTTTATGGACTATGTAAGGTGACCTTGGGTTTTAGAAAGGCGCCCACAAATAAAATGCATTATTATCATTATTATTATTATTATTATTATTATTATTATTATTAAACAGACGTTTACTCCTTGGACTTATTTTAAAACACTTATGAGGACATCATGTAATTTTCTGCTGTAAATATTTTGGCAGATTATGTATATCTAGAGAATAAAATCTATCTATTTATTTCATTTTCAAGTCCCTATGGAATTTTGTGGCAAAAAAGAAGAGAGAAGAAAAAATGTTTTTATTCTCTTTTTTTGATATTTGCAATGTGTATTTTCATTCTCATACTTAATAATTTGGTTGCGGTTTTCAAAGTCTTGATTAATACATTTGGCACTAAATTAATTCCACAAGTCCCCACTGTCATATCTGCCCTCTAGTTAAGGGATGACACACAGTGGTGCCTGCAGAAAAATTTGATTGAGGTGGCCATTAGGGTACAGTATACAGTAATAGTTAAGGGGGTGGCAAGGGACGAGACTATCGTTTCTGGGGTCCCACATCCAAAAGAGAAACAAGACTGAATTAAAAACGATAAGCTTTCTGCCATGATGAGAAGCCCAAGTGTCTATGGATTTTTCCAGCTGTCTTTAACGTAATAAAGCCAAACAGGTAAACTCCTCACGGTGACATGACCTCATTATAGGTGCAGCAGTAACACTCAGGATGGCCTCCAGGGGGCAGTGCAGAGGCAGACTTACACGTGGCCCAGTTCGTGTGCGATGGTGAAGGAGGCGCTCAGGCCGTTTTCCTCGCTAATGGAGCAGCTCCGGTAGGGATCACACATGGTGCCCAGCTCTGCCAGGCCTGGCCAGCGGAGGGGGAGGGGGACAGGTGAGGGAAACCCAGTTAGCGGCTAGCGACTCAAGCTACCGCCCTCAGCGTCGGGATGGGCCCTGACGGCAGGGTCTTTTCAGGCCTTCAGATCGTACATGTCGTACGACACAAACACATGCAAATATAAAAATCACGGATTGTATAAACGTAAAACTCAGCTGCAAGCCCAGGCATGTACAGGCAGCTCTCAACTTACGCAAAACAAACGTAAGTAATCCGGCCTAAAAAAAAAAAATCCGAGATATGTACATAGAGATTACGAAGGCGCTAATGCAAAAAGGCAATACGTGCTTGTATATAAATTTATTCTTTAACTTGTCAGTTATTTAATACATGTTCTTTAGTATGGATTGCTGATTTTGGTTTATGTGTTTTTGTTATTAAGCATCTAGAATGGCAAGGGAAGGTAAATCCGACTTCCGTAAAATTTGACGTAAAAGTTAGCGGATCAGGACGCTAAGTTAGGCCAGAAAGGGCAATGAAGATGTTGAGTCTCCTTACCCAACGTGTCGCATTTGTCTTTGGCTCTGCAGATGTCCTCCCTACCCAAAGAGAAACACACCAGCAGATTTACGTTTATCCCATGCATTCAGGAAGCCATGACAGAGCTGGTCAGTAATTAAGCAAACATCCACATGACCGAGAGCAGAGGGGCCACACACAGCGCCATGGAACGGGGGCGGGTCAGTGTCATGTGTTCCTCCCTCTCTGTTCATTTAAATTTAAATTAAACCAGGATTAGGAGGCGGCGGAACCCAGCAAGAACAGAAAGGAACCCGCCTCCGCACTCATCCTGATTTTTCTGTTTTAATTAGACCAACAAAGGCAGCTGATTCCCCTCAACTCTTCACTCACTCATGACTCTTGAAACATCACTACATTAATAACCCTAAGGTGCAAAGACCTGGTGATGAGCAGTGCGGTGTCGTGGTGCCACGGGTGGTTGTCGTCCGGAACGTTCTGGCCCTGCTGCCACACACAGAAGCTGTGGAGTGTAGAAGCGGCATTATAACTTATGGACGGTCCATCCTGTGGAGGGGAATCTCAGTTAAAAGTCCGTCTTGCGGCAGAGGATACTGATCAGTAGCAGTCACATGACCTTGTACTTAGGGGACGTAGCGTCCTGACCAGTCAACGCCACAAACATGTTTTATAGCCAGTGATGGTTGCTATAAATAACAACATTTGTATCACAGTCTGGATTTTAGAATCACTGTCGATGGCAAAAAAAATAGCTCCCACCTGTTCATTATGGATAACGATCAGCTTAACAATGGTAATGTTGATGAGATTTCCCACACTGGGGTCTCTGTAGATTGCAGCGACCTGAAAATCGATAAACATAAGGAGGACGGTCGTAATCCTTAGAATGTGGACACACACACATTTGATAAACAGATCTCCATACTGACATGAGACGGTACATCTCCAGCGGAAACGCAACAAAAGTAAGTCACGACATGAGATGCCTCAAAGGCGATTATTTTGTGGAATCCTTCACCGTTTGTTCTAAAGAGGCGCAGTTTCCTCACTCTATTGTCCACCCCCACTCCCAAACTCCCATTCTGGGGGCATCCAACCATCTGTGACAGGAAACTCATTAACCCCCTACTCACACTGTGCTCATTAAGGGGGGGGGGGGCAGGCTAAGGCAAAGTCACTGCAGGACACAGCCCTGGAGAACCCGACACCCACCACTATGCTGCCCGTTAGGGATTCCCACAGCTACCACTGCCCCCCATCAGCCTTGGCGGGGGGACACCAGCATGTTCCTCATGGTTACTCGGTACAGCTGCTGGCTCTGCTCAGACTCAGACTCAGACTCAGACTCAGACTAAGACGCAGACGGAGCGCTTCTCTGTGGGCTTATGGGTTACTAACGGAGCCTGACACACTGAGTATGATGCTGTTATCATTCTAAGGAACGATACCTAGAATCCTCAGGCATATCCATCCATCCACCCTCTTACATTTACAGTTTATTACATTATCAGATGCTTTTAGTGACATGCACTTATTGGCGAAGTCAGCCAGTTCCTGGCGTGATTGGGTGTTAAAGGCCTTCCTTACTCTGGGAACCTGAAAATATCCCCAAAAGGAAGGAAGTTTCAGGTTTTACCACACTTTGGGGACATTTTGGATACCCTGTACTGGCAAATCATTACAAAGAGCAGCTTTTAAAGGGCATGGTCTTGGCACCCAGGATACCAGACGTCCAACTGTTTAGCCATCACAGCTCTGACTATGTATTAACTGGCTGGCAGGTAATAATTATCAGAATGAGCAACACCAGGACACAGAACAGGAGAACGCAGGACACACGGATCCCAGTGATACACAGGAGTCAGATAAGTATCGTGAAGTAACAAGCCCATGTTTTATAAGGTTTAAGAAGAACAGGTCACAGGATTAATCATCATCAAATCATGACAATAACCACTGAGTGTATGGTAACTCATAAAAAGGGAATCTTACTTACTACTGACATGATTGTCAGGATGTAGTTCTCCAGGTTGTGTCCGTGGTGCCTCGTCATTTTGGCATCAGCGGTCACCATCAACTCCACGTATCGGGGGTACGAGAGGAACCTCTTCTGTCGTGACTGGGAGTGGATACTCCGGGCGCTGGAGCCGGTTCCTGAGAGATGGGCATCCGGCACTCCGCCAGCGGCTTCCGCCTCCTCCCCGGCGCCTCTGCTGCTATGGAGAACGTTCTCGTTCCCCAAAACACCTTCTGTGAACACACCAAATAGAGAACTGACAGTCAGTAATACTGTACCGTAATAACAAGGAACCCATTTGGACGATGAGATACTGAATTACTTTGCCTCCAGAGCCGCTTTCAGGGCTGATGAGTTGTACACACCTCTGAGCTGTTATTCTTGCCCTTGTGACCTTCCTGTTAGCTTTAGCGAGTCTGGACATTCTCCTCTGACCTCTTTCATTAACAAGGTGTTTTCAGCCACAGAATTGCCTGAGTGTAACTCTTTTCATTAATCACACCGTTCTCTGTAAACTCCAGACACCAGCGTGTGATAATCACAAGAAGAAGGCTGATCCCAAGATGCTGGAACCACAATGCATCAGGTATTAGCTGTTCTGGTGTTTGGTGGCCAGGAAGAGAACCTCATCAACACGTGAATGTGTTGCATGTATTTAGCTGATGATTGGCTGTTTGGGGGAGCAAAAAGTGACACGTAAGTGAGGACAGCTAGGGGCAGAGAGCAGGACAAGCCCGCATCCCTGAAGCATTTCAGGTTAAGGGTCTTGCTCAAGGATGATATGACCACTCTGTCGGGCATGGGATTTAAACCCACAACCTTCTGGAGACAGGCAAAGATTTGAAACTTACTGAGCTGCATACCTCCTCATTTAAGCAAAAGCTGGTCGTATTAAAGTCACTTCATGAAACGACTTACAAATAAAAGCAGTACAAATAACAGTAAAAATATTATAAATAAAAATCATTAGGAAAGAATGCTGGAATTTTGTCAGGCAAACAAATATCTGCACACTTTTAACTCTTCAAAAATATTTAAGAAGAATGATGTTGCATTGTGCAGCCCAGACCAGCTCCATGCATGGGTAGTGAAAACCTGAAACCTACAGAACTCTTCTAGACACTAGGGTCTGTGCTTGGGGGGGGGGTGGTCCCTTTAGTGGGCCGTTCCATCTGATCAGCGCTGGGACATAGGTAGAGAGTGGCAGACTTGTGCGGATAAAGTGAACCGTGGATGGTCACACCAAGCCCTGTGTAATCCCATTTGGGCTCAGGCAGCCGCCTGTCCTCCTGTCCTCGGGAGACAGCATTAAAGGGGCGGTCCGGAAGCCTGCTTGAAAAGGCCGGGAAAACGTTCATGGTGGATTAAGGACAAAGAAAATGGGCCCAAAGTGGAGGAAAATGAACTTGACAGTAGCTCCCCTAAGCCATCCTAACCACAGACAAAGTAAACATATGTAATAACTTCCTATACTCAACTCCACAGCCCGAGGGCCATTCCATGTTCTGAAGCACCTTGACGTTCACTAATCTTGTCACGAGGGAGGAATCCGTGCAGCAAAAGCACTTTTATTAGTGCAGAACAATGAAGGAATTATTATGACAGGGTTCAAAGACGGCAGGGGTTCATGACCTATGGTGTCTGAGGGCTTTCCCAAATCAGTCAGACCAGGTGTAAAGACAGGAACACGCGGTGAACCATGAAGGACCCTCAACAGAGTAAAACCCAGACCGGCATCAGAACGCAGCCCCTACGCGCTTCTCTGTCTGCTCCCCAAGGGGCCCATGGAGCAAATGCTGGTCTGGTTCTCACGTAAAACGGCCTGAGAACACGTCACAGAAATCACCAAGCAAGTCTACAGCAACGTGAAATGAAAGTAGGGAAGCGGAACCTCTTCTGAAGACTACAGTGAGGAAAAGCCTTGGTGTGAGCAGCTTTTCTGCACCCGGGAACTATGCGAGTAAAGAGTCAATGCTTTTTTCTTTTGCCAAAAAGTACTGGAAGCCAGAGAAAGTCTCCTACGGTGAGACACAATGATATTAATAACCCAGGAAGTACAGCTGGAAAACCGTCATTTTAGCAAGAACAGGATCAGAAATGCTTCTTGCTGGCAGGAATTCAGGTTAAAATCCTGTTATAAGAATTCCTCATGCGGTGTGAATCGGAATTCCTAAACCTACTAAAATCCACAAGCACTGCATACAAGCATCAAGTCTGCAATCTCAAATCATTTGAATTATTCTTTTTCAGGTTTGTAATACGCAACAGTCCAAATCAGGATCTGAAGAAATTTCACAGAGAAAACTTTTTTTTAATGTGTTTTTATTTCTAGTGTGTGTGGGTTATGTATATATTACATTGTGGGGTCCAAATGTCCCCACAATGGGATAAGATCTTATTAGGTTATGGGCAGTGGTATAGTTAGAGATAAATGGGTAGGGGGGCTGAGTCATAACTAGGGGGGGCAATAACAAACATATATAATATAAAAAGTTATTCATGATTTTTGTATGATATGCCAATAAATGCAAATTTATTAGGGGAGCTGAAGAACATTTTAGGAGACCCTGGTTATGAGGGCCATAAAACTCAATTGTATAAAAATCTGGGACTGCCAAAAAAAAAAAAAAAAAAAAGTAAAAAAAAAATCCCTGCTTACTGACATTTGGTGAAAGAAAAAAAAAAAAAAAAAAAAAGAGTAAAAAAGCCAAATGTGTTGTGTTTAGTTCGGTTACTTATGGTTAAGGTTAGGGCAGGGTAGTGGTGAAGGTCGTCATGTTGGGATTAGAGTTTTCCCTCATAGAAATGAGTGGAGAGTCCCCACAAAGATATAATTACAAACCTGTGTGTGTGTGTGTGTGTGTGTGTGTGAGTGTGAGAGAGAGAGAGAGAGAGACGCACACACAACCCTGTATACACAAACAGGCAGAACTCTACGTTCACAAGCATTTTCAGATGGTTTTCAGCCTGAGGTCACATGACCTTCACGATGGCATGGTAATAGTGTTAGCACTGGCGTGATAACCCAGACACCTCTCAGTGGTGCACTAGGGCAATAGTTAAGACTTGGGGATGCAAAGTTTCTGGGTTTCTAAAACGTAAAAATACTGTAAAAACCCACCGAAATCTAAGTGCACACATCCTGCTCGTCCACACTGAGACCAGCATGAATAATTTGCAGGTGGTGACCAAAACACTGGCCCTCCACCAATGACTGTCTCACAAGCCTCTGGGCTGAGATGACAGATTCAGCCCCCCCCACCCCAACCCCGCCCGAAAGACTAAAAACAATGGACTCAATATTCAGTTGCAAAACAGCAGCTGGAATTCACGACTGGGGATTTAAATGCAGACAGAACAGTGGGTTCATAGAGTACAACTAATTCAAACAAATATGCTAATCAGCAAGAGAAAATAAACAGCAGCCAGAATAGAAACACGTCCTCCTACTTACGAGCCAAAAAAACGGGGCAGGGGCCGAACGGGGAAGGGGACCGGAGTAACCCGACGGTGCGAGTCGAAACTGCGAGACCATCAGCAAAGCTGTTCCTTTTTCACGGCACCGCTTGCAGCCAAAGAGCCAATAAAGGAATAAAGATCAGACATATCCACGATACCCACCCCTCGATAAACAGTTAAGCTGGATGGCAGGACTCCCTTTGACCCCCTAGATAACATTTCATGGCTTACGGTCCTTGAAATATTTCCAAGAGCAGAAATCCCTCTGCTACTTCAAGTATAGTGTGTGACCATCACTGTTGCTGGCTCATACAGCCCAGTATGAGGCACAAATCACTTCACAAGGCAGGAACTACAAGCATAAGCAATCCTCCTTTCCTCTTTGGGGCAACCAACCCAACAGGTTCCCATCAATTCTAAAAGAGACACGGGCAACGTATGGCTCAGTGGGCTACGCCTCAGTGCCTGTAATCAGTTCAAGCCCGGCCTCTGCAGAATAGTCACGTCTGTGGGCCCATAAGCGAGGCCCTTAACCCCCCCCCCCCCAGCTCCATGGGCACCGCTGCGGGCGGCTGCCCTTCACTGCCAAACTCGCTCTCACCTACATATGTGTCTGTGTGTCATGGAGAGCAAGATGGGCTAGGTGAAAAGACAATTCCCCCAAGGAGATTAATGAAGTATTCTCACCATTTCATACAAACACTGGGATCTCCAACATTGCAAGCCACAGTATTCATACCCAGTACTGCTCTGCTTCTTCAAGTAACCAAATTAATCATAGGGTTAATTGACCATTTAAAACTCTTGCAAGAGTTACTCAGTATTGGGAACATAACCAGACCCAGCAGTTAGCCTGAATACTGAGAGAGGTCATAGTACTAAACGTGGACATGGGAGAGTGAGTAAGGCTCCTACTCACTTCATAATTAAGGTGCTGACCTGCTCACTGAAATGTTCCTTTAACCCAGTCAATATACAAAATCACTGGTTTGTGTACAGTACAAAAAAAACAAACATCCAGAATACATTTCATCATCAACTAAAGTCATGAAACAAGAGCATGACATTCAAAAGCCAGAGAAAAACTTTGGTATTTCTGCTTTCTAAAACAGCTGTCTAGGAATCAGATATGCATTCAGAAACTCAGCGAACAGAGCAGAGGGCAATACAACCATAAGCCAAAGTTACTGCTTTGCCCATTTTAAATGAACTCACACCTTACATTTCATTGATGGGATATTGATGTTAAGAAGAACAAGGATTCTGGACTTAACTGCATTTCCAACAGAACTTCTAACAGGACAGCACAGGTCTTACAACCATTATATGCGACTGGCATCCCCACGAGGGTCACCCCCCAAAATAAGTCATTGTAACAAGCCAATGTCATTTATTGTCACCTTTCCCTGCCAAAATGACTAAATTACGGAGCCTGAGAGAGGCTGAGCTCTAAAGCGTGACATACTCTGAGCACGTGTCACATTAACATGGGTTAGACTCTTGACACAGTTTGCGCTCGTTTTCAGGCCCTGTGGCCCCTGATTTGGCACCGGGCTGGAGCCTTCACCGTGGTTCGAACGGTAACAGAAACACAAACCTACAGACTGACAATAAAAGAGGCTTAAAGATTTCTGCGTTACACATGGAGCCCAAGGATTTGCCTTCAGAATAATGACAATTATACCAATGAAGCAACACCCTATACCAATGAAGCAGCACCCTATACCAAAGGCTGCTGGAGCATTAGCAGACATCATCTAGACAAGGCTATAGAAATAAAAAAAAACTAGACACTACCATGTTGTCAGTCAATGCACTAGCACATGTATGAAGATAACTGATTTCAGACATCTATGCTAACACTGATAGCCAGCTACTTTCAATGACGGTTCAGGAGATGCATGCATAATCCCTGCGATCGTTACAAAACTGTATAGGAACTGCACATGTGCAGTATGATATTTCGCTTTAAAATAACGACAACGATGAACATGTGTGCTTTAAGAAGCACTCAAGTCCGCCTACTGGGCGATGTTTGCCGAAGAGCCCTTTGATGCAAAGTCCCGCCAAGCTGAGCCCCTCAGACTTTCACAATGGAACGTCAATTAGCCCGAGAGCCGCTCGGCCCCGTTTGTTCAGCACGGAGACGCCACAAAAGGCCGTGTTTATTTCTCCCGCGATAGTGGCGCTGTCACAAAGACAGCGGGGAGCTTCAAAAGAGGCCCTGCTATCACTGCATCTGGAAAGGGTTCTATCAGATGAGGTGTGGAAATGCTGACTGAGATACCAACATCCCCCGCTTTAATCCTCTGCATGGCAGACAGTTTGCGTCGATTGGCATCGATGCCCCCACCTCTTTCTCTCACTATCTCTTACCACAGAACATGTGGAACCCACCTCTGCACAATCAAAAAGGTACAGACATTCCCAATTCCGGAACTGTACATCAATGCCTCTATTAAAGTTACAAAGCCACAACTACAATGACAACTGGTACTTATCACATTCACAGAACACATTGACATACTTTTCCTGACATTCTTTGCACTGTCATTGTTTATTGCTGTCTATTATTTATTGCCTCTGTCTATTAAGGTCTCAATGTGTTTGTACTCTCTAAATGCATATATTGAGCTATAGCAAACCTGTAATTTCCTTTGGGACTAATAAAGCATCTGTCTATCCTCCTAAGAATGGAAGATCCATATTCTCTGTGTAAATTCATCTTCAAAGATGAAGGCTACAAAGTTGTCACACATAAATGGGAAAAATGCTTTTTTTTTTAAATTTGGATAAAGCCTACACAATACCCTTCCTTCCTAAGATCTATGAACAATTGACTGCAGAAATCTGTCTATTGCCCCCACGGACTCAAAGAGTGAAAAGGGGGGGGGCACAGAGAGGACAGCAGTCTGAACCCACCAGTCATTCAAAGAACTCGAACCCTTATAACGAACCATTGATAGGGCTGGTTAACAATACACCATGACAACGTCGTGACAATAAGCCAATCAAACGCCCCAAAGATGAAAGGCTGATGATGTCAGCGCTTCTCTGCCCTGGGACCACCCTCCAAGATGCCTAGATCCCCATGTCATGGTGAACTCTGCAGGGTCGGGATTCTTTATACAAAGGATTAGGTTTTTTTGCAAAAATGTCCTTCTGAAGGTTTCTACCAAGGCTTATTGTCATAATGTGTGTTCATTTACTGCAGCAGCCAGTAGGAGAGACAGAAGACTCATCAGAAAAGCATCATGACAGAGGAGAACTTATCACCCTTAAGGTGGACTTTTTTTGCGTCAAGCCAACGCCGTGACCTAAGCAAGAGGCCAACGCCGTCACGAGCATTTATACTTGTGCGCTGGTGTGTCTGTGTTACTCAGCATTTACACCGCCGAAACGCTAGATGATACATAGTTTTGTTGCATTTATTGTCTTCCCATCCTACATGATTGTCAAATCACACAACTGAAACAGGAAAAAAACAAACATTTAGCAAGGTACCCATCTACCGAGTCCTGGTTACTGTGCTGCTCCAAACTTCCTGTAGACACATTTGAAAAAATGTCGAGCTTTGTATGCATTTTCCCTTCTAAGGTTGGGGTATAAACTACATTTTTCAGTCTTGTAAAGTACCAATAAACCCAATGGAGGTAAGTGACACTGGCGCTGGCACCCGGAGTGTTTTGTAGATCTGACGCCACGATGCTTATGGTCGGTTATTTAATGCCAGATATAAATATCACATCAGTGTCAAGCAGTGATATAAGTACACCTGGGATGTACGCCGTCTTCACTCACATAAATAAACCAATGCTACCAAGCCGACCAATCACAAACGAATGCTACCGAGCCGACCAATCACAAACGAATGCTACCAAGTCAACCAATCACAGCTCCAGCGGCCTGCGTTGCCGTGATGTGTAGTTACATTGCTGGGAAGGTATAGATCAGGGTCCACATTGACGCCGTCTTTACAGCACCGATTTGATGCAGAGGTATAATTCATGCTTAGGAAACCCCGTTGGTCAGCGCTGGGCTGAACACCATGGAACAAACGAGAAGCAGCTTACCATGGACTGCACATGCTTCAGAGGAGCCTGGCCCGGAACTCCGCCTCTTCCTCTCGTGCCTATATACCAGGTGCGGCTTGTTGTGCCCCTCGTCATATTCCTCACCCTCCGCCGCCATCAGAGGCTCCAGGAAGTACTCGCCGCTGCGGGTCGTGAAGGTCCCGACCTGAAAGGCCAAGGTACACAGGCATTGGTATGGAGCACAAGGGATCTACTGCGCTCAACTGAAGAATGTTGCGTCCGTGGCAACCGTAACCATCGCAGGTCTGGCTGATGAGTCACTAAATAACCAGTAGGAATCAACCTCTGCAAATATCACCTCTAGCATTCTAGATCTGAAGGAGAGCGTTACATTTAGTGTTCCTTTATTGTATGGCAGTAAATAATATTAAAATTGACATCACAGTTATCTACTCTTACACCAAATGTAAAGGTATCATTCCTCAGCCAATGTGAAGCTCAGACATCTTTGCAAACAACCTACAGAAATCCAGATGACAAACCCAGTTAGAATTTCCTTTTTCCCCCAGTTTACATACATGTCAGCAGAGTACATAATCAGTATTCAAAGTGCACGACTGAAAGTTGAACATTTCAGGGTCTTTATTAGGTGCACACAATATATAATAAAGGCAATCGCTTGGCTTGTGATAGTCAGCTGTGTTGAGTCAATCAATAAGTAACAATAAAACATTTTTACTCCGTCATAGTAAACAAAACACAATGGCTTCATCCATCGAAACTCACATCACCAGCCCTAAGCAGCAAATTCTGTCTGCAAACTGACAGTGCACTGCATAATAAACAAAACAATGTGATTTTTATTAACCTCTCTGTTTACAGTAACCATGAAAATATGAGTCATGGTGTATCTCCAGTACTGGACATCTGAATCCTGGTTTAGCAATATACTGTAATTTGGGCCAGTTATTGGGGGTCCAAGGTCCCTATTGTTTTATTTTACTTAAATTAATAAACAGAGTCACTGTCACATATAGCACTGCGTGGCTAAACACCAGCTGTATATGCTGCTATTACATTACGGTGATGACAGAATCTGTCGTCGAGTCAAAGAATGAAAATGTCACACAGCACTGAGACGCGATGTGGGTGAGTCCAGAGGAATTACAGTGCAAACTCCATCATGTAATATATAGCATAAGATCTGAAACACACAGTCATACCAAAAGTCATGGAACAGGTGTTGCTCCAAACACAATGTGTCTTTATGCCTAGAAATGAACGGCATGTCCCCTATAATGGAAAGCTGGTGAAATCACACTCCGTTCCTCCCAGAGCTGTTCGCTCTCACGACCAATTAGGAATGTCTTGGCACTGCGATCCTGTTTTCCATGTTATCCCGAATGTCTGCAGGCTTCTAAACGCAACACGCTTGGGCTATTCTCCATTCACACAGCTTGATAGTCCAGTTGGGTGCCCATTATAGACTTTTGGTAAAACAATGTCTTACAGCCTAAAGATGGCTAATGGCTGGATTCTCCTTTGACTACACAGGGTTTTAGACACCTAAATGCCAAATCTGTGACAAAGAATCAAACAGATACAATAAAAACAATGGATTTATCTAAATTCCCCTCCGGACCGGGGTGTACCTGGGAATTCTGAGCTCCCTGACAAAACATTATCTTGCATAATTTCCCATAGTTAGTGTTTGTCAGGTGCTGGGGTAACGTCTGACTGTACTCACATCCCGTAAGAGCCTTAAAGTAAATGTATCGAGAGACGTCGGAAGCAGACGTAGTGGATGTCCGCAGGTATATTTTACCACGTGTGCAGCATGAGGCAAGAACCAAAACAAACCACTACAGACGTTTAAATAAAAGTGTGAAATATTTTATGTTATAGAGTATATTTGACCTCTTCCCTATAATGACCGAGATACGTCCAGGTTGACTTACGTCCTCCCTTCTGGGACAAACCCTGGATGCATGGCGATAGATAAATGTGTATATTATATTATATACACACACACACACACACACACACACACACACAGACATTATTATCTTCTTTACTAAGACTTTAACACAAATCAGCTTCGATGAGTTACTTGGAATATCTTCTTGGGGTATCAGGGGTTATGTTCATTGGCTCTTGAGCCCTACAGAAGGAGCATTCCCAGGATGCAACACCCTTCGAGTCCCTTGTCCTCAGTCACCAAGCCACCTAAATATAAGGCTTACACCAGCGGGGGGGTCACACCCAGTCACAGGAGTGGGAATGTCGGCAGATGCCGACGCACTACCAAAGCACCGGCGCCAACCAGCCATGTCAGTTTTTCGTCTCTTGGATACTCGCGCTGAAATGGAGCCAAGATGGCTGCTGTTCAGGGACGGGTGCTGAAATGTACCTTGGACGCTGAAACTCGGGCTTCCCTTTGAGGTGACAAATGGGGACGAGCCAGATTACTGCCTTATGAGTAATGAGTGATGTTACCCCAGTCACAAGTACGGAGGACTGACTCAACACAAGGTGGCTCGTCATGCGTTTGGTCACGCAGTGCTCTATTCTGAACACCATGATACACAGAGGCTGGACTCTGTGATCCCAGCGTATGGATCTGAAGTTAGTCATTACTGATGCTTCTAAATAAATACCCACCAATGTTGGCATAAACTCCTAGCTTCACTAGTTAAAGCAGAACCCGATCGCTCAGTAAGACTTTACAATATGAAATGTCTTGATATGACTATCCTTGTATTAGTGTTGACATTTTCAAAATAGATTAGACCAGATGATAAAACAGAATGCAGTAGATCCTAAATGAGGAATCAAGTCCAATTAAAGCAAAATTTCCAGCTGGTTGATTCATAAATATCTGTTTACACACATTTAACCTCGGAAACTGTTGCCACATCTACATAATGGTGAAACACACAGTTAAGCTCCATGAACTTTGAATGAAAAGTAAGACTTCCCGAACCAGGATGCAGAAAGGATGCCATCATGCCCTGACACACACGCAAGGACACACACTCCTGTCTCAGTGCATATCCCAGCGTCAGAGTCTTCCAGGCCAACCTGAGCTTTGCAAAGAAGACATATACTCACAAGGCCAGTACAGAGGCTGAAGATAGCCTTGAACTCCGTCTCGGCGTTGACGTGTCCACTGAAGAAGCAGTGCCTCATGTCACTGGCGACATCCTGGGGGAAGCTCTCATTGCTGTCCAGCTCTCCCACGTGTGTCACCGTGTATGATGGGGAAATAAATCCAGAATCGGCCGTTAGATTGAGATGGAAACGCTGTCCGAAAGCGTCGACTCGATAGTGAGCTCGCAAGCCGGGGAAAGTCGCGTCCAAACTCCTCCGTTTCCTCCTGTAGTGCAAGGCGTGCGGAAAAGTTTCTCCGAAATCATTCACTCGCAGCGGGGTGACGATTTCATAGGACGACAGCTGTTTAACAAATTTTTCTGAATGAGAGAAACAAAAACAAACAAAAACACAGGTGAGTGAGTGAGTGTGATGAAAGGGCACTCAAATGAAATTAAGCGATCAGCTACAATACACGGGTCACAAGGTTGCGTTTACAACTGGATGCATATGCAATTCGAGCTGAATACACCGGTTCTTGACATATGACTTATTGCAATTAAACCGTTTTGCACTTTACTCACTTAAGCTCCAAGATATCGCTGTACTTGATTGGTAAAATGCAATCATATCGCACACCGTATGACTACCGGCATCATACCAGAAGAAGTTACCTTGCTTTGGGTGCAGTCGGTACTCCGACGACATCCAGACGAGTGTTAGGAGGTGACACGTGAGTCCCACCAGCTGGGTAGCTAACCGCATGGTTTTCTCAGCAAAGGAACTGCAGCTTTCGTTCGCTGGGCAGTACCTTCCCAGTCCGCCGGGCCCCCCTTCCACCTTCTCTGTATTTTCTCCACCGGCTTGTCAGCAACAGGTCCCGGGACCTGATGAGGCTCTCAGCGCCGCAAGTCCGCCCCAGTGCGCCGGCTTCATGGCATCCGCAGGCGCGCGTCCGCTTCTGCGCTCCGCAAACTCACACATACACATGCAAACGATGCGTCCGGGCCGAGGGGTGGGGGGCCGGTGCCAGCACTGCTCCTGCTCCAGCCATCCATAGAAACACCCTCCTCCCCGCTCCTACATCAAACGGAGACGACGCCCCCGTCCCCTGTGCACCAATCACAAGTTTCCCCCTGTGTTTTTTTTAAACAAAATTTCAGGAAAATTCACCATCCGCACTGACGCTGCTGCGGCGCTCCGGAGATTAAAACCCAGTGTTGTTAAATCAGGTTTATTTTCACGCGTGTTTGTCTAATTATCACCTTAGTGCGGCAAGACCACCTCGCCTTTTATCACTTGCTATTGCCATTGCAGTTTTAAACCTGTTCATGTAAACTATGTTGCACAGATAAATGTGACGGCAAGAACTTTTTTTTTCTGGGATGTCAGCAGTGAAATTATACCTGTGTTCAATGCAGGAATTTATTTCAGGGAGCGATCTGTAGACATAATCCCGAGCAAAGCGTTTTAAATACGAACAAACCGTATATGAATGCGTATTCTTCTACTAAATAGCTTAAGAAATACGGCTGATTGACGGAAGGGAAGGTGTACTCTTAGACATTAACGTTCCTTTATAACCATTCATCAACGGGCTATTTGCATATAATCATTTACCAGAGCCTGTATTTTAGAACCCGTAGTGGTCTTGGTGCTTGAATTAGAATATGAGCCCTGCTTATAATAAGGTTAAGTGCATTACTGTGTCCATTACTTCACCACTCCCACATCTTACAAATATGCTTCACAAATAGACTAGAATGGTGGAATCCCTATGATAACTAGCTTTAGCCATTAGCCCTTTGCCCTGTGAGAACTGGATACATCACTGATTCTTAAGAACACTGTCCAGCAGGTGGCAGACTGACAAGCCCCCGACTCCAACTGTCCCCGTTGGCTGGATGGGGCTGCTCTGCACATGTTCTGCCACCACCACAGTGACCTCCAGACCCCCCACATGCACTGGATCAGTTGGTACAGTGTTCGCACTGGCTGCCATCCCTCTGAGCATTACAGTGGAGTTTCTGGTGAGTAATCAGCAGAGCGAGCTTTTCCAGTCAGCAGGCCCAGACGCACAAAGCCAGTCCCTGAGTGATCCACCACATGAACTGGGTTTAAATCCAGAGTGCTGGGTTTTCACATGGCTCACGGAAGGTCTTTAAGGTAATGAATGAACTTCTGTCTTTCAAAAAAGTACATCTCCATCCATCCATCTTTCACTGCTTATCCAGTGCAAGGTTGAGGAAGCAAATATATCTTTTTATTAAATAACAAATAGCATGGCATGTTTGTCTTATATTCTGCAAGGAGAAAACATGTTGGGCTTTTCAATAGCTTCCAGAGTGTCAATGAACGTGACCAGTTAGGGTTGATTCAGATGTCTTAGAATCGCATTCCGCAGACTGCCCGAATTCAAAGACGACTCAGCTTTGGATGCATTTGTTTCGCTGTATTGCGACAATGTGGCCCACGTGCACGAAAACCTTTTCCGGCTTCCAGTCCGGCGAGGTCACTGCAGCTTTTGCTGCAAATTGTGGACAGATGTCTTCATAAACGCGCCCATCCTCCGTCGTTCCTTTGGCTGAAGCAGCATCTCACTGGTGAAGCGGATGAGACACTGTCGTGATGCATGCAGTGCCAGTCCCTTATGACCAGAGGCATCATGGGAAAAAGTAAAAAACGAGAGGAAACAACATGCCTCATGTTACGAACATGTGAATTGAATATTAATACTTAAATTCACTCATAAGTCTTTTTGAAACATTACATTTTAAATTTTTGAGCAAGATCAACAAAGTGGGAATTTCCACAATTTTATCTAGAAATGTCGAAGAAAACATCTGATAAGTTAACAATGATTCTGATGAGTGAGGTATCACAACAGCAAAGAATTTTTCTTTAGTGAAAACATCACATTTAGCTTTTCTGCTAAATAGCTTTTTTCTTATTTTCGGGTTTGATTGGGCACCGGCATCCATTCAGCAGTCACATAATATATCAGCATAAATGTATCTGACACAAGCTCCTCAATTCAGAAAGCTCTGATGGTGAGAAAGTCCGTTTGAACAGGATTCCGTGGACTTTCAGCAATACTTTAACTGTTGTTAAATAATCTAAATGTTCGCGTGCAGCCCATGTTTTTTTGTCGAATGCAGCCGTCTGTGTTTGAGCGTAATACACAACACAGACCACCTTGGTTAGCCGCAGCACACTGGCCTCACACAGCCCCCTCTGCTCTTTCCTGTTCTCTTAATCCAAGCAGAATCAATCCATTGAGTTCAGCTCTCGACGGACACACTCTCGAAAAGAAAAGCCTTATTAATTGCAGCTTATCCTCTGTAAATGCGTAACGTTACCCGGCTTCCCTTAGCACTACTTCCCCTGCTGATCATTTTCCTGATTACATCACTGCAAATGCCATGTGCAGTGTGAAGCATTCTCCATCAAGGGCAGCCGCACTGGAACCAGCTGAAGGCAAAGCCATTGTGATATTTAACAGGAGTGACCTAATTGCCTGGTTGTATACATTTATTATCGCATGTTGTTACAGACAGAATAGTGTCTAACTCCTGCATGTGTATTTAATAAGTGTCAAAATGACTGTAAGAATGCAGACAGGCTTGTCCCACTAATAAAAATAGATCTGCATTTTCTTCATGGCGTCATGATTAAAAGAAGGACACACCACGCGTTATGCACACACAGTGTGCAGCCAGAATGGATGGGAGATCCAGTCATGCATACCTTGGGGGTTGCAGTCCCAACTGGTGGGCCTGTACTGGAGCGAGGCGAGTGCCTCTATGCCATCTCGGGTTTCATGGCTAAATGGAAGGACCGGGGCAGGGCAGGAGTCGGACGGGTATCTTCGAGTTTGCCAAGGAAGTAAATGTCCTATGAGGGTACCTTCAGTCCACACATGGCCGGCCACGAGTCTGCTCACTCATCCAGCAGCTCTAGCATGTGCAGGTGGGCTTTAGTGGGGTCACTCCGGCCCCAGTTTGCCTGGAGAATGCTCTGGCTTGTTGATGTTTGGTTTGGCTAGGCCCTAAGGAGACAGACCCCTGACTATCTTTCCCCTCTTAATGAAGCATTCCATTCCTTCAGCTGAATTTTAGTCTGGCATGCATGAGCCAGTTTTATGAGCAGTTATATTTGAGTCGACTGGCAGCCCATTCGGGGTGTCCCCTGTCTCACGCCCAATGTATCCTGGGATATGCCATGATCCTGTGCTGGAGATTAACTGAAGGAATGGATGGACAAATGGAGAAATGTTAACAGTTCTTGTTCCTGAGCTATTTGAAACAAGAACCTTAATTTATGAAATCAGTTGAGCAGAGGTAGGAATTTACTCAGCTGGTCAAATGGTTTCAACAAAAGTGGATGTAGAGCTGACAAGGTTAGTAGGACTTGAAACTCATGTACATCACATAAACCTACGGGGAACCTGAACAGGAACAACACTTGATTCTACAGCAACAGACGAAACACACACAGAAATAAAGGAAAGAGGAGGAAGTGGATCTTTAATTTTGATGGCAGCTGGACTGAGATCTATGGTATTCTGTTCCAGTCAGAGAGAACATAAGATGGGAGGAAGCAGGAATGTTTGAAAATGTCCTTGGGCCCAGAGGAAGGACAACTGCAGCTGTATTTCTTGGCTGTGTCCTGTAAAATCCTCTGATGTCAGCATCTGTGGCTTGTCTTTGGCTGGTTGGACAATTACCTTGCCACGTCTGGCAACTTCTGAGAGATAATTAAATGCTGTATGTGTGATGTTAATTACAAACGTTTAGCAAAATGACTGAACTTTTCAAAATCATACAATGTAGTGAATTCCATGTGGGTAAATGGAGAACCTTTCTGCTGGAATACCTGAGACAGCATCATAATGAATGCAGATCTTCCTTTTGCTCCATTTTGTTTCGCTATCTGTGGCATTTCATTGTTTGTGTTATCGGCGTATTCTCTAATGTGCAGGTGGTTTGCAGACTACACTAGACCAAACGATTTTTGGATTTTCGTCTTTGATAGCTGGAACTAGCTACAATATCTATCTTCTTATGTAACAATAACAGCATTTAGCAGCATGTTTGATTGTTTTTTCAGTGGCCAAGATGTCACCAACCAGAAATTACATTCTTCTGGAACATGTTAACCAATAAACAGTTGATTCTATTACCAGGTAGAAGAAATTGTTATATTAAATTGTCTATTAAAATTAAGTCAAAATGTCAATACTTTCTAGGAAAAAGTTCTGTCTCTTCAGTTTACACTGTAGACAGAGTTTGGTAATTGAGATCCACAGACCAGTTGAGCATAAAGAGTCACAGTCACAGAGTACTCAACTGGTTGGTTGAAACAAAATCCTGGTCTGGACTTACTCTCTGGACCTTAGTTACCCAACTCTGACTGTAGATATCTTAGTCATCTTACTTCTCAGTAAATCACAAGCCCAGATCCAGGCTTTGTGACACAGGAATCCTAAAATGCTATCCCCAGTTGTATGTTGCTTTGGACAAAAGTGACTGTTAAAAACATTTGATATACATTTAAAAGCATAAATACATAAACATACTTACTTTATCCTAACCAAATCTTTATCCTAACAACACAAACTTAATATGCAAATATTCAACTATTATGATCATTCTTTCAATTTTTTTTTTTATATACATTTTTGTAAGATTCTGGACCCAACCCAACAGACTTGGGAAGACTAAGAAAGGCATTAAAATCCAGTGTGCTCACAGGAAGTCTGAGGTTCCCAAACGCAATTTTCACCGGTTATTGTCTGGCTGACACTGCGTGATTGTTCCTTTGGCCGCGGCTGGCCCGTGCAGGACAGCCTGAGGCCGGGGGACCACCCGTTACTCTTACTGACGGGCTGCTCATTCAGACTTCAGGTCCATTCTGCGGACTGCCAGTCGGCGTTCTACACGGCGGAAAGGGCTTTTCTCTGCCGGAGTCGGCTTTCAGGCGAGGTCGGCCGGAGCGGCGGACTCCAGCGGCGATGCAGGGGAGTCAGGATGCCATGTCTCCCCGTTTCCCGTGTACCAGCACAATGTGGCGGGCATCACACAAAAGGCCCTTGAGGGAC